CTGAAGTGGGTATACACCAAAGCTTATAGGGGAACAAGAACAAGCTTTTGATTGTGTTAGAGCATTAGACAGTACTCGTTACGCTATTCGCATGTGCGACGACTGGTTGTTTTTTTGCTGTTTTAAAATACTTTATGAGTCGTAATGACGCGATTGCTTTCCAGACATCATCAAGCCTGAATATGGTGAGTTTGCCAACAAATCCAAGCACCGGCGTGGCTCAGTGATTAATACTGGGCTGGCACCCAGCGACCCAGGTTGGAGCCCCACTTTGTCATGGGTAGCAGTTTTTTTTTTCAATTTCGTGCGTGTGGTTACGGACACAAGCGGCGGCGGTGGCGGGCAACTACGGTGCCGCGCGTGACCAGTTTTTGATCTCATAACAGCTTTTGCTGTAAAAAGCGTTACAGAATTGAGCGGCAGTTTTAACAAAACAATGTACGTTTGCTAGCGGCTACTTCAAACAATATTATTCAAGGGGTGGATGTAAATGCTGAAGCACTTAGTGTGGTAACGATCGAAGTGGGCAGGTGGTTTCATTTCTTAGGATTACAGAAAGTTCGGCATAGAGCATTCTGTCCCTTAAGAATTTGAATGAAACTTAACCTTGTGCATTAGCTATCTCCTGCGAAGGCCAATATAACAGATTAATTTTGACTTGTGAAACCGACTTTTACAGAGTAACGGTGCTCCCGGAACAACAATCCTCCATCATGGCCGCCTCAGGTAAGATTTCAGGATACATCATGTTCACTCACTACATTCATACGGCACTTAATTATCATTACGCATACGATTGATATAACCCATATTGATTAAATGAGCTGAAGAGAGAAGAAAGTATATTAAACAGGAAGAGCAAATTTTGTGCAGCAAAACACTCACCTTTGTATAGTTAACCTAAGCAGAATAGTTTAGAACAGGAATGCAACACAGGACAAAATACTTTTTTTTTTTTTACAACAGACCCCATCATCTTGTCAGCTTAAATTGTCTGTTGAATCCACGGAATGAAGAAGCTTCTTTTTTTTGATTTTGTCGACCATTTCTCCATGTGCTATCACATCTGATAGGTCTTCCAGAACACAGTTGCCTTCTATAAGTGCTTCAAATTCTAACAGTAAACTTTGGTGCTCAAAGGTCGCGCACCAAACAATTATGACAGAGCTCGTAAAAAATGTTTGATACTGCAAGTAAAGTTGATTGCTCAAGTCCATTCTCATATTGCAGATGTGAAATTCGAAGGGGTAAAATGCGATGCTTGCTGTCGTAAAGATATAACAGGGACCCGCTGGAAGTGCGAAGTATGTTGCGACCATGATCTCTGCGACGACTGCTACAAAAGCGGCAAGCACTACCGAGAGCACCCCTTCCTGCGGCTCAAGAAGCCCGGTGGTTCAGCGTATGTATTGACAAATTTTACTTCCGTAGTACATTAACAGAGCTCTTCACTGTCGACTCATTCAGAGCTGTTCACCACCGTCGAACTTTTCTATACTAAACATATGCAAAAAGAGTATTAAGCTTCAACATCGCACTGTGCTTGTATATATATGGTGCATCAGCTGTCAGCCAACTAACTCCGTTGATTACCATTCTCACCCCATGAAATCCCGTATCAGTTGTTCATATGGATCATTTCTCAATTTACTTCCTAACACTAACAATGCTAGATATATCAAGCAGCTTCACGAGGTGTTGTCGTTGTCGGGCTGCATAATTTTGTAGAAATTATTACGATTTTCTAAATATTTATGCATGCCATTATACAGTGTTGAATACTTACTCATGTGACAGCCTGCTTATGCACTGCCTGATTATCCTTTTGTGTTATTTAGCTTGCTTCGTGTCGTGCTTCGTATGGTGTTGCCAATCTGGGTAATAATCAGGATTTCGTGGCGTACAGCCAACGTCGAATGGTGAAGTTAAAGTGGCCCTCTAACACTTTTTGAGCGTGGTCAGAGAATGATTGATATGTGGGATTTAACGTCCCAAAACCCCCATATGATTTTGAGACACACCGTAGTGGAGGGCTCCGAAAATTTCGACCACATGGGGTTCTTTAATCTGACCCAAATCTGAGCACACGGGCCTACTACACTTCCGCCTCCATTGGAAATGCAGCCGCCACAGCCGGGATTCGAACCCGCGACCTGCGCATCAGCAGCAGGGTACCTTAGCCGCTAGACCACCGCGGCGGGGCCGTGGTCAGAAAATTCTGCCACCTGGAATTCACAAGAAATTCTCATTGTCAGTCCGCCAAAAAATGCTTTCTCTCTCTCGGCACATGATGCTACAAATGACTCGTCACAACGATTGTATCAGACGTAGGCTTATTTGAGCATCGCGAACTCGGTCATTAAAGGGCCCGCTGCAGAAGGCCACCACTTGTCCACGCGTGCGCGCGCGATTGCACTGAAAAGCCGCGTATTCGAAGAAAAAAAAAGAAAAGTGCTCAAGGTCACGATGCCCACGTGGCGTATTTTCTTTCCCCGCGCCGTTCCTTCCTACTGAGATTCCAGCACTTTCGTCGGAACGAGAGAAGGGATAATGTAATTGCAGCGTGAAGCAAATCTTTGCAACTCCACTCGTACTGGACCGATTCTAAAAAAAATGACGGTGAATTCGTGCAGGTTTCTTTGGTGAATTCTTTGGTGAATCCATTCCATGGCTACATAAAAATTACAGCATATCCACGGAGTGAAGGATGATAAGTGAGGCAAAGCCTTCATCCGTCTGTTCATGCGTTTCACGCGTCTGTGCGTCCGGGTGAACGGATGAACAGAGGCATGTACGCACGAACAGACAGACGTACGCACGAACGGACGCACAGATGAACGGAAGCAAGGACGGACAGACAGACAGACGGAAGCATGGACAGACAGATGGACAGATGGCCAGACGGACGGACAGAAGCATGCATGGACAGACAGAGGGACAGACGGATGGACCGACGGAAGCACGAACGGGCGGTCGGGCGGAAGCACGGAGGGATTGATGAACATGTGAAAGGACGAACGCACGAATGGTTAGACACGCGGATGAACAGACAGATGCTTCACCCCACTCATCATCATTCACTCCGTGGATATGCTGTGAAGCTACTAACGCCATCTAGTTATATCATTCACAAGGACGTATACACACAGCACATCTATGAGTGATTCATAAACTAAGGTGGCTACTTACCACATATGGAGGAGAGAAGGACACACAGCCTAAACAGCTTCGCCCTAAAGGTGCATGCCCCTTTATAAATGCATATCGTTATAAACATGTGCCTCTCTAGCTTACACTTCATGAATGTAAATGTACTTTGGTTACAGAGAGGTGATTGGGTTGGGGCCTTATTGGACTCCTACCATCACAGCACTAGGTGGAACCCCTATTCCGGGGCTCCATTGGCAAGCAACGCCGCCCCCTATCTACGTTTGAACCAGGCCTCTTGGGCCTTCAGGTTTGACAGCCGAGCAGGGCACGCCTCCCAGTCCTCTTCGTGGGATTGGGGTTGGGGGGGATAGATGGATTAGACTGGCACGCCCAGACGATGTGAAAGGTGTCAGCCACCTCACCACAGAACTGGCACGTGCCATCAAAGATGAATTGAAATGTTTTTAGGCACACGCCGGGCACAGTACGGATATTGGTAAACAGTTTTAAAGGAGGCGCTCGTCAGCGCGATGCAGTCCCTTACAAGGTCTGGATAGCGCCGGTGCTCCTCCTTGTAGTAATTGGTAATATCTTTGAATGAAAGGGCCGAATTGTCTGATTGCGAGTAGGCTTCCAAAGACAGGGAGATAGCCGCGGGAACAGAGTGCGCGGGCTGGCCTGATCGGCCTGTTCGTTACCCTGAGTCCTTGGTGACCAGGGTGCCACAAACCAGATTTCGCGGAGTTGGATTAACGTATCGGCAGCTAGGTTCCAGTATGCGCTGAGCAAGCGGTGAAGCCACACCTAGCTGATAGTTCCGACAGGCCCCTCGTGAGTCGGTGATGATATGTTTAGAAGAGGGATAGGTGAGAGCCAGAGCGATGGCAATCCTCCCTCCGCGTGTGTTGCGCTGTAGGCTTGAAAGTGAGCCGTTTACGGTGTTTGCGTTGTGATATGACTGCGGCACGTATACCACCCCCCATGGTGCGGGCCGGCAACGTCCAAGTAGCACACGTGTTCCTCTTGACCAAAGTGTCGCTGCAAGCTTCCGCGCGCGCCTGGCGGCGACCCACTGTGGTTTTCTTGGACATGTTGCGGGGAAGGGGTCGGAACCCGGAGGGCGCGTCTCCAAGGTTCTGGCACTCTCACCCTTTCCTCAATATAGTAATCGTGTTTGATGTGTATTCGGTCCAAGAGGCGGCGACCGGATGGGTCTGTGCAAGGCGCGTGTATTGTTAACGAGGTGGGCTTCTCGAAGTTCCCGGTAGGTATTCACCACGCCTAGGGCCAGAAGTCTCTGGTTGGACGTGGTGATAGGGAGGTCGAGAGCCCGCTTGATAACTTTACGGTGGATGACCTCGAGTTGATCATCCTCGTGTTTGCGTAGGTGCAAGTAGGGAGTCGAGTAGAGTATTCTACTCGTTACGAAAAGCATGGGCAAGCCGCATTGCATCCCTGCTTCGTAATCCGCCCCGCTTGTTGGAGACCCGGCGGACCATACGGCCCACCTGGTCTCCCACCGTGCGAAGTTTGGCTATTGTGGTGTCGGCCTTGCGTTGGTGGTGTATGAAGAGGCCAAGGACGCGGATCTCCTTGGCCTCACGGATCGGTCCCGAGGGAAGACTGATATGGAGCTGAGTTGTGTCCTGAGGGGAGGGACGTACGTGCACAAATTCTGACTTAGCCGGGGCACACTGGAGTCCGCAGTAGGTTGCGTAGTCGTCGACTACAGTCGCTGCTGCTTGCAGGCATGACTCCATGTGACCCAGGTTACCTTGCGTGGCCCAGATCGTGATATCATCCGCGTAAAGAGCGTGATGTATCCCTGGTAGAGAAGCCAATTTGGGGGGGAAGATGAAGCATGGCTATATTAAATAGGAGGGGAGAGAGGACCGCGCCTTGAGGAGTTCCCCTCGAGCCGATGACGTAAGGCCCATGTTCCTCATCTTGTATGCGTATGTAGGCTTGACGGTCTGTAAGAAACTGTCTAACATAATTGAATGTTTTATAACCACAGTTGGTCTGACTGAGGTGGTCAAGGATTACCTCATGCTTCACGTTGTCGAATGCCCCTTTAAGATCCAAGGCCAGGACTACCTTGTCATTGTGGGGGCATTCAACAGGATCTAATATGTCATGGTGGAGCTGTAGAAGTATATCCTGGGCTGACTTCTGAGGGGGCGGGAATCCAAACATGTTGTCCGCAAAAGTGTGCCTGTGTTTCTAGCAAACTCGGAGAGTCTGTCGCGCACCCATCGTTTCCATCAGCTTGCCGACACTAGACGTGAGGGAGATGGGGCGAAGGTTCTCCACGTCAATAGGTTTACCTGCCTTCGGGATGAAGGTCCACGAGAGCTGATTTCCATTCAAGAGGGAGAGGAGTTTCTCCCGTCCCAATGCTATTGATGTATTTTGAGGAGCAGTGGGGTAGGCTGCGTCGGGAAGATTGGCCCACAGTTTGACCGTAACCCTGGTCACGCCCTGGTGCAGTAGTGCCCACGCTTCATCTTGCGGTAGGCCAGCCTGGAGGTCGTGGAGCTGGAACTGGGTGTCCAACTGCGTGTTTCTTTTTGCCTGCGTAGGAGTATGCGGCCGTCCAGGGGTCCTTGTGTGCAACAGGTATCGGTCCCTGAGCGTTGTTTGCCAGCTGTGTTGTCGTTCCTGTAAGTGGTGCATGACCTTATGTAAGTGACGTTGAGTTTCCGTGCGTGTTGTGTTGGATCGATGAGAGCGCGAAACAGGCGCCACGTGTTGCGACCAGACATCTGGCGTGCAGCCGTGTTGCACCTGTCCACCCAGTTAGTGTCGGCTAGCTGAGCAGCATATTCCGCAGCTTGCTCCGTGAGTTCTAGGATGCGTTCTTGAGGCGTCTGTTATGTTTCTGTTTTTTTCCATCGTTTGGTGAGGCTGCGGCGGGCCTGCCAAAGATGGAGGAGGTGGTTGTCCACGTCCGTTTGAGTTTCCGTGAGCTGTATCAGCGTTTCGTGTTGTTTCAGTGTAGACGTCAGTGATTTAGACCAGGTGTCGTATCCCGACTGGAGAGGGTCTACATAGGTAGAGTGGTGCGGAAAGTTGTCCAGTACTGGGATACGAGCTTGTGTAAGTGGGCGTTTAAGGGACGCATGTACACAGTTGTGTTTAATACACAATGATCACTACCGAGAGTGTCCTGTGTGTTCAGCCAGTCGGCATGGCGTATGTTGCGTGTAATTGTGAGGTCCGGGCAAGTATCTCGTTGAACAGAGTTGCCTACACGTGTTGGGCTGGCGGGATCAGTGTGGAGGGTGAGTCCAAGTGTAGAAAGAAGTTCCGCAAGCTTCCTTCCACGCGTGTCCTCTCGTGGGTAACCCCATAACCTGCTTGGGCATTGAAGTCGCCGACGATCAGGAGGGGGTCCTTCCTGCCACCTGCAATAGCCTTGTGTGAAAGTTGCGCTGACGTGACGTTCTTAAGCTTTGGGGGACGTAAATGTGTTAAAATATGAACAGGTGGGTCAGATCGCCTTATAGTGCAGCACCGACACCATCGTGTATGGGAAAGGCTGTGTTGTGGGGAGTGTGACTTCCTGGGCGGTATATTGGCTTGTGAACAAGTATGACATGTCCTCCGGGTTGTGTTGAAATGTAGTGTAATTTGTGAGTTTGACGTCCGTGCCGGGTTTCCTGAAGGGCAACCACGGCAACGAGGAACTCAAAGGTCTCAAGATAGAGGCGGAAATGAGCCCGCTTCTTGTGGTTCTTGAGACCTCTGCAGTTCCACTGTGTTAGTAACAACGGCTGAGTTGCTCCTGAATACTGGATGTTCGCTATCAGCGCTGTATGTTTGAAACGAAGCTTCGCGTTTCTCGCTGTTATAGTGTTATTACGACAATCACTCTGTGAAGAGAGATCGCACGCATTCCTAAAAATGGATAAACGCTGTTCTGTAAAATTCAGTCACTACCAGCTCATGGACATAATTCGCAGCTTTATTATTGTCCAGCCTATTGCCGGATTATAGCATGGAATAGTAATAGTTCGCATAGCAAATCTAATAGTCAACTACCAGGAATCAGCCTAGTATTCTCAACTATTCGGTCCTTGTGTTGACTTCTCTAGACTGTCACATGTTACGCCTGAAACATTGCACACTGTTTTGTATTACTTATTATCTCCTACTTATTATTGTTATGTCTGCTTATCCTTATCTCCTCCTTTATTCTCTGTTTGTCTCCCCCATTCTCCTCTCCCCCATGTAGGGTAGCAAACTGGAGTTAGTCTAGTTAACCTCCCTATATTTTGATATTTTTTCTTCTCTTTTCTATTACTTCATGTCCCCCCGAATGAGATAAAGGGGTAAATATGTTGCCGTCATACTTTCTTGTTTGCTTTTAGTCAATCATCACGCATAGGTATGTGCAAGGTCGTCCAAATATAAAATGAAAACCTGATTAGTATAAAAAAACAACAAGAAAGGTGTTGTTTAGTACGTAAATATTATACTGAACTTACTACTAGTGTGCTACAAACCGGCATCTGCGCGAATTTTTCGCGTCTATGTTGTAGCCCTCATGTTGATAAGTTCTGACTATGCAGAGTTTAGCTTACCTTGGCATACTGCAATTTTCTATTTCAATATTTCTGTCTTTATTAATTAGGCAATATTGTTATTCGGTAAAATTTCTGTACTTCCTTTACCTTTTTTATTACAAAGATTTTATACTGTATTAAATGTTTAAATGCAAAGTCTCACTATGACTCAACGTTTCTAGAACTAGCTAGTTCTATAAACGTTGGCATTACTCTCTGTATGCTACACATATTGCTTGATGTAGTCCAAACTGCAGTTTATTTATTTTACTGTATTTCTTATATATGTTTATTAGGTATGATCTTACGAGTCTTTTTGTACTGTTAACGTTGTATGCTGCCAATTGTAGAAGGTATTCAGGGACCAAGTAAAGCTTCCCCAAGCAGCTTTTAGTCCTGGATACTATCCAGAATTTCTCTGGTGAAATAAACTTTGACTTTGACTTCAATTTGAAGAAGCATTATGTTTACCGACACCACGATTAGACGTCATGTGACGAATGTTTCACTCCTGAATATTAACAAATGCTATATTTTAACCGTCTTGAATACTAATGAGGTGTTTGCCTTAGATGTGCTTGACCCTGTACAGTGTCGTCCTCTCCTAAGGTGAACACGACTAAGTGTGACTGCACTGGATGATCCGTGATGTCGCCGCGTCGGAGCCGCGTAATATCAGCCAGCAAACAACTTGAGTCTGCAGCACGATATCCTGAGTAAACGCGAGCCGCAGGGCCCGCACCGATGTATCGTTTGCCATCGAGGATTTACCAAGATGTCGACAGCGCTCGATGATCCTGTATCAAATCCAATGCACTGAGTTTTGCAGTGAGGTCTGTCTTGAATGAATGCGTGTGCACTGTCTGTCCATGTCAACATGAGCGAGCGATGAGTTTCACATACCTGACCCTGCAGATGGGCGCACGGTTGTCATTTGTAAATCTAAAGTGCAAATGCCCATTGTTTATTTGACACATACAGTCGACAGCTCAATTCCAGCCAAGTACATATTTCTAATAGCCTACCGATGTTTTTACAGGGAAAGAGTGCAGCCAAGAAATAAATCCAACAAGTTAGATAGGACCAGCATCGTGAGAGGCGGTAAGTATACATGTGTCGACTACGAGCCACATATGTGCATGCACGAGTAAACGTACAGGCACAGCGGAACAAGATTAGCGCAAATGATCACTGATGACCGGAGCAACAAAACAGATAATAACAATGAAAATTTGGGTTTTTGTAAGGGCAATATTTTGCCGACCGTTGTCTTTCACTTCACATCATGTGACCCAGATTTGCCGTTTCATGGAGACAGAGCGACTCATCAGCTAGTATAGAAACTCCCCAAGAAAGCTAATCTAAAAAAATAATTACAGCATATCCACAGAATGAATGATGATGAGCGGGGCGAAGTGTCCATCAATCCGTCCATTCATACGTACGTACGTCTGTGCGTGCATCCATTCGTCTGTTCGTCCATGTGTCTGTATGTCCGTCTGCTTGCCTGTCCGTCCGTCCGTGCGTGTGTCCATGCGTCTGTCCAACTAGTGAACACTTGAGGTACCGCCATCTCGCTTCTTTCTATAATATATTGATCATATACAAGTACCGTGATCCAGCGGACAATTCAAAGACTAAACGAGAGTATGTACCACATTTCTCCAGTCAGCGCTTTAACACCGAGATCGTGATTACACGCCAAGCTACCTTTTTCATAACATGTGAACATGCAGATATGTGCCAGAGGGCAGGTGTGTGCCACTGGTATGCGGGTGTGTGCCACAGGTTAAGCACTATCACAAAGGAAGACGCACAAGGCGCGCCTTGAGGAGCTTCACCCCTAAAAAAACAAGGGCGGTGACTTCTGTTCAGATTTTTTTTACTACAGCACCTAATGACCTATCAATAACCTTCTTTCAATATCTTTCAATAGTACTCATCGCCTATCCTTCCTGGCAAAACCCCCACCATTGTTCAGGATTATCTTCGTCACCAATAATTCAAGACACTCAGTATTATGAACTCCACTTGTCAGAAGATTAAATTTATAGAGAGAGAGAAATGTTTATTTGCAAAAAGGCAGAGAGGTTCGCCTGAGCAATAACATGCTCTTGCCTGCTACTCTACTCCGGGCGCGGGAAAGTGTAGAAAAACGAGTAATGAATGACGATGGCGAGTAAGGTAGCAGAGTATATACATCCGTGTCAAATTGAAAAAAAAATGTTATAGCGGTGCATTTAGTCCATTTGCTTTTAAGAAAGCTACCCCCACGCTTACGACCACACTTGGACTGTTAATTTCAGGCCAAGGGTCTGTCTAACAGTCTCACCGGTTAATGACTTATCGCGAAATCTTTCAGGAGAAAAATCACTATATGCCAAGAGTGTGTAAGAGAACAGTGAATCTGATATAAGCCATTGTGCTCTTTGCTAAAATATGATGTTCAGAAAGTTCCAAATTGGCGGCCTAGTTCAAACGTGTTCATGCGCCGCAGGTGACAGGTTTTATGGAATCTGCTGCGACGGCTGTCGTCAGATGAACATATCTGGAGTCCGCTGGAAGTTCAACTACTTCCTCAATGCCAAACCATCTTGATTTGGTGTCCATGAACATACTTGTGTACATTGTCGATTAAAAAGCAAATACTACGCAAATCTGAGGCGCAATATCAACTTGTCAATGTTTGGTGGCGTACTTCTTCATACTAGGAATTGCATAGATTACGCCGCGCTCGCAATGCAACGTTATGCACGAAAAGGCGGGTGTTTACTACAATTTACTGGATGGATGGATTAGATGAATTGATATAGCTGAACCCTTTAGATCGGGCGGGGGCTAACGACACCTAGCCATATTACTTAGTGAACCACAACCTAGATTTCTGTTTTTTCTTTCTTTTTTTTGTTCAAAATAGTGAACTTGACGACTAGTACTTAGGAGCGAAAGATTTAATTTTCAATGGTGCCTTGATTTTAGCCACCAATCGGATAACCTCTTTCTAGTTATTTCTACCCGATTAAAGTCTGTTTTGCCCTCGCCATTCCTAAACACCAGTGCTTTGAAAAACTCTGCGCCATCATTCTGAATTATAGGGTGAAGCCTTTTACAGAATATTATGAGGTGTTCAGCAGTTTCCTCCTCCTCTCTACACGCACTTCATACAGTGTGTACGCCTTCGTATTTTGCCCGATAAGTCTCTGTTCCCAATACTCCCGTCCTGGCCTCAAACAGTAGGGAACTACCCCGAGTATTATCATAGATCCTTTCCTTGGCCATTTCCTGCTTAAAAGTTCGATATATCTCTAGTGCGGACTTCTTAATCATGCCCATTCTCCACATGTCAGTCTCCGTTTCCTTCACTTTTTTCTTAACCGATAGTTCCTTTTGGTTTGGCCACCTGCTGTTTTCTAAGTATTTACCAGTCAACTTCCTGGTTCGCTTCCTCCATTTTGTATAGACATTCTTCATGTACAAGTAGTTGAAAACCTTCCTAGCCCAACGCTCCTCTCTCATTTCTGTCAATCGCTTTTCAAATTTTATCTTGCTGCTAGCTTTCCTGCCCTCAAACGATGTCCATCCCATATCACCTTGTACTCCCTGATTTGGTGTATTCCCGTGAGCTCCTTAAGCAAGCCTACCTATTCCACGTTGCTTAATTTCTAATCTTGCTTGAACTTCTGATCTCATGCACAAGACCGCATTGCTGAACGTCAGCCCAGGAACCATGACCCCTTTCCATATTCCTCTCACAACATCATACCTATTGTAATTCCACAGTGCCCTATTTTTCATGACTGCTGCATTCCTGTTACCTTTAGTCGTCACGTATATTTCGTGTTCCCTCAGATACTCGGTCCCATTGCTTATCCATACGCCCAGATATTTGTATTTATCTGTTATCTCTAGCGTGACCTCCTGTATTCTAAGCTCACTACCTTCGTTGTCATTGAAAATCATGACTGCTGATTTTTCCCTACTGAATCTAAAATCTAACCTATCTCTCTCATTACCGCAGATGTCTATCAATCTCTGCAAATCTTCCTTGTTGTTGGCCATTAGCACTATATCATCTGCGTACATTAATGCTGGTAGTGCCTGATCAATAAGTTTTCCTTGTTTGACTAAAGAGAGATTGAAGCCCAGTCCACTTCCCTCTAATTTTGCCTCTAATCCTTGTAGGTACATCATGAATAATAAGGGTGACAGGGGGCACCCCTGCCTAAGCCCCCGTTTTACCTCTGCAGGCTTGGATACCTGTTTTTCCCACTTTATAACTACCTTGTTACCTTTATAGACACCCTTTAAAGGATTAGTGACTACATGTTCCACGCCTAGTGTGTCCAGTATTCCCCACAATTCCTCTTGAACCACGCTATCGTACGCTCCCTTGATATCCAAAAATGCTAGCCAGAGGGGCCTGTGTTCTTTTTCTGCTATTTCGATGCACTGCGTCAGTGAGAACAGATTGTCTTCCAATCTCCTGTGTTTCCGAAACCCATTCTGCAGTTCTCCCAGCACCCCCTCATCCTCTATCCACGCCTGCAGTCTTTCCTTTATAATCTGCATCGCCAGCCTGTATATCACTGATGTCACTGTTATAGGACGGTAGTTGTTTATGTCAGCTTTGTCCCCCTTTCCTTTATAGATCATGCTCATCCTGCTAAGTTTCCATCCATCGGGAACTTCACCATCGATTATTATTGTACTCACTGCCTCTCTCAGAGCCTGCTTAGACTTCGGACCTAATGTTTTTATCAGCCTAATTGGAATGCCATCTGGGCCTGTTGATGTACTACTAGGAACCCTTTTCTCAGCCCTTTCCCACTCTTGTTGTGAAAATGGAGCCATTGCACCACTTGATTCGTCTTTGTCTATTGTGGTGCATAAAGTACTTCTTTGTTGAAATTTTTCTGTCACCCTTGTTCTTATATATTCAATAGCTTCGTCCCCTTCTAGCGTAGCACCTTGGGCTGTAGTTATAAAGTTCTGCTCTAGGCTCGTCTCATTTCTTAGAGAGTTTAGATGGTTCCAAAATTTCGCAGCTACCTTTCTATCTTTTTTATGTACTTCTGCCAGCCACTGAGCTCCCTTCCTTCTAATCTTTTCATTGATCAGAAGGGATGCATCCCTTCTACAGCTTAGAAAGGTTGCCCATTTTCTTTCCACATCATCTGTCGGTTCACCCCGCTGCTTAGCATGTCTGTGTTCCGTAGAGGCTTCCTGACGTTTTGCTATGGCTCTCTTAACAGATGGCCCGCACTGCGCGAGCGCCATCTGTCGCGTCAATCGAAAATGCGGGCGTTAACTCGCCACGCCGGCCGCCTCCGTTGACTCACCTCTCTATATCTAACACCATGAGTGGGTGTTTACTATGCTTCAGCAAAAATGACACGGTGCTGCCACCTATCCATACCATTGGCTCGGCGTTCTAGACACACTTTAGCTTCTTGAAATCACTGCCAGATGGCGTTAATATCTCACGCATAACCTGCTTACCGATTTTATGTAGGTAGGTCTTCTCACAATGCACCTTTACAACCCAAGGCACAACATCCATTAAAGGATGGGAGGCAGCCCTGTCCAGCTCGGACCCGGAGACCCGAGAGGTCCTCGTGAAACGTGCGAGGACAGCAGCCCGCACCAATCAGATCATGGACTAAGGATCCCGCCCACCGATCTTCTCGTCCAGAGCATCTAATAAGCTTTTATTCTCTCTCTCCAGGCAGAAGACTATCGTCTGTCGATGACCTTTGCCAACGAAACACGAATATACGCGCCCAAATTATTTTTCGTTTTTGTTTTTTCGTTGTGCATATCAGCTTCGGCTTTAGCAGCGCGCATCAGCAGCACACGCGTTGCTGCCGAAACGACTGGCCCCGCTGTTTGTAGCGCCCTCGCCGACACAGCTGCATGCCACGCGAGGACATCCGGAACACAATGAAGCAGCGTGGAAACTGCGCAGTCCGCACGGCGAAAAAGTGTCAACAGCTGTCTATGCATATTCTTACGCCACGGTCAAAAGAAACTGTGAAATAGAATTGGCCGGACATGTCAAACCTTCCTTCGGCGAAACCAGTTGCGCACACTGCCCCTTGATTATCAAAATATAGGATTTCCTTTCCGTGAGTCACCCTCATATCGACTGGTTTCTGATAGCCGCGAACAGGCGGGCGCCGTCACGTGCAGTACACCGGCGACGACGAGATAACAGCGGACGCGGTGTCCTGTTCGACTGCGCTGCTGCGGCCAACGTTACTATCGGATAAACTCGTTGACTGCGGCGGCAGCGACTGTTTTCCCTGCCGGTTCGCTCCTTGTTTGTAACAAAACGCCAAGCGCGTGACTGGACGTCGCAACAAAGGACGTTGGCGGATCTAAACAGCTGTGAGAAGTAGCGGCGGCCCCAAAGGTGAGATCTTATTATGTAGAAGATCTTTTTCGAAAAAAGCATCAGTGGAAGAGTCTACGTTCCCGTAGTTTCGACCGGTGAACTGATCTTCATAAGGTTTTACTGTTAACAGTGAGGGTCCCTACATACTTTAAACTTCCCGATGTGTAGTACTACTTATATTATTCGCCCAATAATCCTCTCTCTCGCTCTCTTTTTCGATACATATATTGTAATGTAAATGTGAAGAAAGTAAAGAAGGTGAAAAGATAACTTGCCGTGGGCAGGAACCAAACCTGCGACCTTCGAATAACGCCTTTGATGCTCTACCACTGAGCTACCACGGCAGCCATCCCCTCACTCAGCCACTCTATTCGGTATCTATGTGATTTTTTTTAAACGTGCACTTTTCTTTCTGCACATATACATTACAATGCTGTATGGGTGGCATGGTCCAGTCAGGCGATGTTTGCCTTTTGCCGTGTCTCCTTGGGTAATTATGTAATTGTTCTTAATAAACTAATAAAGAGATAAAGAAAAGAAATTCGCTTTAATAACTCCCCCTATACTTTCCTTGGCATTATTGTCGGTTGGGTCTTAAGATTATTGTGTATATTGTATAATAATGTGTCTATATTCAAGGTGTCTTCCAGGCACTATAGGAAGCACTCGGTAGGGGGAGGGCAATGCATGAAATATTCGTGTACATAACAATAGCGAAACAATGCAATAGAAACAATTGCGAAACTATAAAATAAAATTGCACCATTATAGTTCAACACGCACGAAAGATACAATCGACGGAAGAATAAAATAAACGGACCGTTTCTTGCACACACAAAAGAAGGAATGGCGAGAAAGGCATATTTCTTTTTTGCATGTATAGATACAACAATCATAAAAAATTCGGCAGATCCCACGTATGTGGAAATCGACGTTATGCGAAGCATGCGGAGGGAAGGTCGCTGTGTTGCAATTTTTTTTATTGAGCGACACGTCATGAAATGACGCTAAATGTATGTACAAATGATGTACGCACAGACGTATGTTGAAGAGTTGCACATGTTTATATAACCAGTTGTTTGCACTTGCGCAACGATGTCAACTGAAACGTGTGTATTAGCAACCCCAGACGCTGATATGAAGCGCTGATCCTCTCGAAGAGGCTGGCCCTGGACACTGCTACATAAATCAACTTCAGCGCATGGCACCTAACCACAATCACCGTCACGTCGTTAACTCGACGTGACGGCTGTATCAAAGAAGGGCATATGTAATATTTATAAAATAAGGTAGGCAGCACTGCAACCACTATTGACGTTTTACGAAGATTAGCGTCTATTTTAAATGTAGTTCCGAGACCTGGCGTAGCTCTGCGGTAGAATGCTTGACTGCCACGCAGAATGCTTGGATTTGATTCCTGCTGGGAGCCTGAAATTCATTATTTGCATTCATCGGGGGGGTCAACGCTGCCTATGTCAGGTTTTTCTTAACATTGACATTTATTCTATGCCTTCGTTGGGTCGGCGCTACCGATGTCGGGTGTTTCTTAACGCTCACGCGTTAAAATTGCCCATGTGTGTTCTCACCGTTCCTAGGTAAATACCAAGCGTCAATCACCCGTGGCACATACCCGCACACCAGCGGCACATACCCGCCCGTGGGTATGTGTCGCTGTCTGACGGGAAGCGTTGGATGCGGGATTGTGAGATTATTCATGTGTTAACCAGCGCGTCATGTTTGTTAAACCATCTTACCCTTCCATGCTAATTTTGGTTCACGCCAAGTTAAGGGGGTGACCACTATAGAGCACCCAAACGTAAGCGCCCAGATAGATTCATTAACAGATTCGCTCAAAGTCGCCGAAGTTCGCTACAAAATGCTTCGCATTTAAAAACATGATCTATCCTAAGGATATGTTTTCATAGAAATGAAATAACTGCAATGAACAATAACTGTCACGCATGCCAAAGAAAGAGGTACATTCGTATGGTAGCAAAACACCGGAGTGAATTACCTGTGCTAAATGAAGGAAAAGAGAGACAAAGCGCCATATCTGTAGGGCAAAACGAAATGTGAAAAAAGAAAGCATTTCTGAAATACGCATTACATCGTGTTATCTGGCGCCATATATGACGTGGCATGCGAGCAGATTGAGATGTTTGCTACAATGATAAGAGCGATTTCAAGAGTTGGCAAAATTTACCATTATTTTCGCTGCAAGGTACAGCATCAGCTTGCTCAGGTCTGAGAAATAAGTTGCTGTAGAGATATTGTGGAAGTTATCACAGTTAGTCTAGGAGGCGATGTGGTCATTCAGTGGCACGTGAAATCAGAGGGTCATTGAAGGCGTTTGCAGAACTATATACACGGGAATAGCTATGATGATTGTGCATTCTGCATGAAGTGAGATTGTAGACCTGTTACGATGATTCGGTAGTTGTGGGTTTTTTGATGAAAAAATCACAGAAGTGAATCAGTTATTTTTTTTTTTTTGATGAGGAGACCAAATCAAAGAGCTGTATGCTAGTTCATAGCGAACCATATTTACGTAACATAATTTGCGAATGCTTGAAATTGCAGTATTCAAGCTACGTCTCAAAAAACCTAGTGATTTGAAAGCATTGGCCAAGGTAATGCGCTAATGCAGCTGTACATGGGTAGATTTTATGTTAGTGTTACTCCTAAGTACCGAGATTACGTTGTAGTCAATAGAATAGAATATCCATGCCGTAAGAAAATTCGGATATACTGGGTTTGTGAGTGAAATATATTTCTTTGCATTTTGAGACATTTAGTGTCATAAGCCATGCACTACACCTACCATTATTAGCCTTACGGTCATTTCGGAGCGACAGATGATCTTAAGTGTCCCTGTCTGGACGATAAATAATACAGTCGTAAGCGAATACTGTACCGAATTTCGTATGACAGTACGTGAATGGATGACGAAGGTATGTGACTGGTGCAAACATGATAATCATGAGATGCGTGTTATGTGTGAACTTGACTACATGTCACGTCAAGCTGGCGTTGCCACGCCAGGCGCTGGTCCTGCCATACTCCAGGCGCGCACCACGCTGCGTTGCTTTGACGCGTGCACGCTTCAGCACGTCCTGCGTCCCTCCGTGACGAAAAAGAGAGACGCAGTGTTGTCTGGACAACGCATTGGCGAGAAATGCAGTATGTCGCATTTTGCGCCGTTTGCCGTTGGGCCGCGCCGACGGACGCTTGTCGCGCCTGGCGTCAGACTATAGAGAGCTCACGTTTTGCAAACGTATAGCGTGGCTGCGCCCAGCGTGCGCGCGCGTCAACGCTACTTTGGAGTATATTGGGCCCTTCATGATGCGCTCATGGTCGTTTTGCTTGCTCCACATATACCAAATTTGGTGTTACGGGACGTCAGTGGATGACGAAACATATGACTGGTGCAAACATGATAATCCTTACATGCGTGTGATGTAACAACTTGACAACATACCACGCTCATATAGTGTGCTCGCGGCCGCCTCGCTAGCTCCACATATACTAAATTTGGTATCACGTGACGTGAATAGATGACGAAGGTAAATGACAGATCCAAACATGATAATCATGACACAGAAGTCATTTACAGCATCATTTACTTCCACCTCGTAACGTTGTGCTGATTTTAAAGTGACATATCAACATTTCTCATTCGTGCTTCGCATATCATCGATTCCTAGTGTACGTGGGATCTGCCAATTTTTTTTTCTCTGGCAGGATGACTTAACAATACTTAGCTGGGTAGCTTTTCAGCAGTTTGGGTGGATCATTAGAAAATAACACTTCATGTTGGATTTACCTCAAGCTGAACAATGCATCTTTTACAGGTCTATAAGAGTGTAGTTAGGCCACGAAGAACTGACGAGCAATGTAGCACTCTTATATAGGCATTTTATTATTACTTCGCATTCACTTAATTTTTTCAGTGAAGCAGTAACTTGACTTACAGTGTTTATTTTAACCAGTGGAACATGTTTGTCAGTGTACACAGAACCTGCTTGAAGAGAACCCGTTTTCTTTTTCGGATCCACAGTAAAACACAGAAGGGGAGTAATTTAAAAAAATATCCCATATTAATGTTTATTTTTTTAAAATTGTTTTTATTATAGTCTCTAGAGTGAGCGAGAAAGAAGGCTCCTTAATAGAAAACAGGGAATTGTGCCCGCGTATATAAAGGTTGAGTACGTGCTATTTTCTTTCGAGGAAAGGGATTGAGCAGACAAAGGCCTCAACAAGAAAAAAAAAAGAGTGGGGGATATGATCGTGGATGGTATGTGCATCTCACAACGTAATGGTGATTATGTAAATTACGTTACACTTTATAGATTAGGTTATTGTCTCGAGGAATATGAACAGTATTTGTTTTGTACGTATACCGGCAATGGGAACTAGGGGATATGTTTATATATACTTGGAGTAAGATATGGTTACTGAATCAGTTCATGTTGCGACACTATATAGCGTTGCGCTTCGCTACATTTACCTCCGGTGATGTCCGGCGAGCAAGGTCGCAGCTCGTCGCTGAACTGATCCCTAGCGCGGTTTCATCAGCTCGATGTTGACAATGTCGCGTCCACGATTCCGCATGTCCGAAGATGATTCAAAGGGTTCGATAACAAAGTTGACAGGCGATGCAAGTTTGATGACAAGGTAATAAACCAGAGAAGCTGCGACATTCGGCCCCTAATCCATGTTTTCCACCCGTGCCTTTCTTATAATATTTTTAGTGGACCAGTGTATTCAGTAGTGAAACTTGCCAAAATAGTTTGTCACATACGTGCTATAAGAGATTTACGCGTGCAGTAGATAGAATTCGATAGAAATGAACAAATGGTGTGGACAGGAAGAAAGGGAAGAAAAAGCAAAAAAACATGAAAGTTCAAAGAGAGAGATGAGGATAGAGAAGAGGCAAGAAAAAGAGAAGTAAAAGGGTCAGAAAGAAAACACGTTAGAAAAAATCACAGCCATATCACAGAGTGAATGATGATTGGTGGGACGAGGCGTTCGTCAGTCTGTCCGTGCTTTCTTCCGCCCATTCGTTCTTGCTTCCATCCATCCATGCATCCGTCCGTACGCCCATCCGTCTATCCGTCCATTCGTGTGACCGTCAGTGCATCCATCCTTTTGTGCGTCCCTCCATGCGTCCATCCGTACGCCCGTTCTTCCGTGTGTCTATCCGTCCGTCCGGGTATCTGTTCGTGCGGTCGTCCGTCTGCCTGCCTGTCTGTCTGTCTGTCTGTCCGTCCGTCCGTCCGTGCATTCGTCCCTTTGTCTGTCTGTGCGTCCGTCAGTCCGTACGTCTATCTGTATGTCCATCCATCTGTCCGTCTATCTAGTGGACACTCCAAGTACAGCCATCTCGCATATTTTCATCATGTGTTATTCATATACAAGTGCCGCCATCCAGCGGCCATTTTGAAGGCTGCTCTTTCGGGTATGTGCCACCGGTGGCTACATACACCATCGGAGAATGGACAGACCCACACCCTAAAGAGCTTCGTCCCTAAAACACAGAAACGAATAGGAATAAAAAAAATATATGAGAATAGAGATAAAAAGACAGTGTTCACTTTCTCGTCTTCGTAATTCTGCTCTATACCTTTTCGCCGTCATGAACTAGCTCACATCTCGTTTAGCTTCAGATAACAGTCTAAAAAAAGATTATAAAGAGAGCAAGAATAGCCATGTATATCAACGAGTGGGAAAGAGAGAGGTGAAAGCGTAAAAGGCTAGCCTAGCTGCGACCATCTAGGTGACCACCTGCTTTGCTGTGACCCAGCTCTGCGCGACCCAATGTAAGCTGCACTAATTATGCATAGTATTAATCCTTTTAGTGCGCTTAAATGACGTAAAAGGCCTCAATAACTCAATGCAATGGCTATAATTTGCACTGAATCTATATTGCAAGCTTTTTTATAGTTTGTTTAGAGACTTTCAGAAAATGTGAAATTTTTGGTTCGTCGTTGTGAAATTTTGTTTCCAGTTGTCAGTAGGGCATTAAATTTTACTCTAAAGACCACAGTTATTACGTTATTCATTTATCACAGCACCCTCAGTGCAAAAAAAAAAAAAAACGCCATGCCCACACAGTTAAGATTAAGGATGTTGTAGGTAGCCGGCGGATCTAGCCTTGCATAATTTGCAGGCAATTGCCCCACCCAGTTTCCTCTTTGCTGATTGTAGTTAATGTCCTTTGTTTTTTAACTAAGCACGAGCAGGCTCTTAAAATAAAAATTGTGCATAGCGGGATGTAAGCCTGCATGAGAAGGTGGCCTCTGTGCTATTCCACATGTAGTATTGTTCCGGTGTTCTATCTGGCTACACTATACCCCAAACATAATTGTCACTGATCACCAGTCACGTGCGAGGTCTATAGCATTCAAAAATTTCAAAAGAACTCGCGAAACCTGTTTCCTGAAGATCGAGTGACCATGCACACGGGAACACAATATCTGTCACGCTGTCATATGGCGAGCCTAACCGTTGCAGTTCTTCAAATAAACCTTGCCGTTCCTTTTTAAGCTCACGACACTTTAGCAAATAGTGTCCTATACCACCGTTTTCCTTGCACTTCAGACACAAGGGCGTCGCGGAGAGTCTGATCTTGTGAAGCCATGCTGGTTTACGCGCTGGTCCCGTTCGGATGCGATGAAGCAAGCAGGCCTCTTCCCTTGATATACCTTTTGTCACACATGACTGGTGAGGCGTCAGCCTTAATGAGTGATAATGCTTATTGACAGCTTCTCGTAAGATGCGCTGTTTGTCTTTGGGAGTCTTCTTCGTTGGTGTAATCTCCAGAGCACTCCGGGCAAGTCTGTCAGCCACCCCATTACCCGCTTTACCTACATGTGATGCAATCCATTGAAACTTAATGTTTATACCAATGCCATGCAGGTCTTTAAGAGTTCTCAGTAATCTTTCAGTGCATCGATCCAAAAACAAACCATGTTTTAGCCGCTGCAAAGCGGGCTTACTGTCCAAAAACAGCACGACTTGTTGCTGCCTACAAAACTTCAGTTTCTTCGGGGCTGCCTGAATTGCCACGCTTTCACATGTCGATGAAACAAAGCACTCGAGTCACGCTGCGCAGGACGCCTTTAGAGACGGGATCACAAATACTGCAGCGCTTGCTCCGCGCACTATGTCGACTGATCCATCGGTGAAAACTTTCAAATGATCAGTGTACTTTTTTTCAGTAACACCGAAAGTTGGGCGAGTTGGTGATTGTTCATGATTACATAAAAGCAGCGCACGACGTTTTACACAAAGAGAGACGATAGGGACACCGCTGCACTCTCAACTAGTTTATTTCGTAAACGACCTTGGTTATTATACAACAAAACGGTGTACCACGTGCTACAATGACAACGTATTTTCTAAAAAGCCAACTTCGCAATCGCTCAAAGTAATCGATGCTTGGCTTATACAGTAATCTTTTCTTTTTGCGATGTGGAAGGCCTCGATCACTTCCCTTGTCATCTTATCTCTGTGGCTGGAAAGAATTACGTGGGAAGTGCCACGGGAAAGTCAGCTTCAGTTTTTGGACTTGTTGTTATCACGTAAGCCAGACCATGTTTGCTGGTTATATAGCCCACGATCTGAGAAGCCCCTGCTTAGCTATTCTTCCGGGCATTCAAAGACAGTTAAGAATGGCATAGCATTCTCTTGTCTCCGCGCTGCCTTGGCCAAATCTTGTCCCCACAAAGTTAATGATAGCTTCATCAGACAAGTAGATAGATTGGCTAGTGCGGGTTACGAAGAGCATGTTCTGCGCAGGACCGCACAGAAGTTGGTTCATCTTGTGCGCAAGAATATATCTTCGGAGCAGCCTCAAATTGAGAGGAATTATGAAGAAAGGAAAAAGAAATGTGTCTCCATACCCTATGCGCACAGTATATCACATAATCTAAAGAATGTAGGCAGCCGGTATGGCTTACAAGTTGTTTTTTCTGCACCTAACAAACTAGGAAAGATATGCGCTAGGCTAGATAGGAAGCGATTGACAAAAAAGGATAGGTGTCGGTGCTCTGTTAAGCACAGTGTTTTGTTTGTGGAGTGCAGAACCGCGGTGGTTTACTGTTTGCTCATGTCGTGTGGGAAAATGTACATCGGTCAAACAGGCCGGTGCATAAATACAAGGTTAACGGAGCACAAGAGAGCATTAGCTAATAATGCTTACTCGCACTTAAGACGGCATTGCTTAGAATGTGGCTGTTCCCCGCTGTTCTCTGAGACTAAAATTCTTTCCAGCCACAGAGATAAGATGACAAGGGAAGTGATCGAGGCCTTCCACATCGCAAAAAGAAAAGATTACTGTATAAGCCAAGCATCGATTACTTTGAGCGATTGCGAAGTTGGCTTTTTAGAAAATACGTTGTCATTGTAGCACGTGGTACACCGTTTTGTTGTATAATAACCAAGGTCGTTTACGAAATAAACTAGTTGAGAGTGCAGCGGTGTCCCTATCGTCTCTCTTTGTGTAAAACGTCGTGCGCTGCTTTTTTGTAATCATGTACTTTTTTTCAATATATTCAAGTACAAAAGAATGTACCTCTGCTGTGGGTGTGGAACGCTTGCTGTGCATCCGTGGAATTGTCACCTGACAGTCGACATCCTCATGTGACCAAGGTGGTTCTTGTCGAAGTTGTCTTTGGAGAAATCGATGATAAGATGGCGAAGGCTGCTGAGGGCCACGAAAGCTCGCGATTCCGTGCGTCGCCGAAGGCGACTGAGTAGTGCTCGTCCTGGGCTCGATTCACCAAGTCGGCAAAGCTGAGTCAGCAGTCGTTGAGAGGCGAGAAGATGTAACGGCGGAAGACGAGCTTCATGAAGCCCCTTTGTGCTCGCTGCAAACTTTGGCACCCCCAAAGCGACTCTGACGCGTTTACGATCAAGTTTTTCCAGCCGTTCATACTGTGACTCAATCGGAAAGATCAGAGGCAGTTGGAAAAGCACACGATGGACAATTACTGCCGCGTGTAACTTTATCATTGATGTTGGGTGGCTCCCCCAGCTTGGCCCGCACGGAAGGCGCAGCACAGTCACAGCAAAAGGTAGAAGAGCGGCCTTTCAGAGCATTTTTTAAAAACTCATCGGGTAACTACTGCAAGCACACTTGCTTGATACCCACTACGGCATTAATAATAAAGTTTTTTAGATAGTAGGCCGGTATTCGCTATGCTATTTTTCGTCCTTCTGAGAAGTGTGGTATCCGATGAACACTTACAAGAAATTTTGTGCCGATTGTTCACGCAGTGTCTGATGACGATGAGGAATTATGGCTGAAGTGGGTATACACCACAGCTTATAGGGGAACAAGAACAAGCTTTTGTATTGTGTTAGAGCATTAGACAGCCCACTCGTTACGCTATTCGCATTGTGCGACGACTGGTTGTTTTTTTGCTGTTTTAAAATACTTTATGAGTCGTAATGACGCGATTGCTTTCCAGACATCAAGCCTGAATATGGTGAGTTTGCCAACAAATCCCAAGCACCGGCGTGGCTCAGTGATTAATACTGGGCTGGCACCCAGCGGACCCAGGTTGGAGCCCCACTTTGTCATGGGTAGCAGTTTTTTTTTTTTCAATTTCGTGCGATGTGGTTACGGACACAAGCGGCGGCGGTGGCGGGCAACTACGGTGCCGCGCGTGACCAGTTTTTGATCTCATAACAGCTTTTGCTGTAAAAAGCGTTACAGAATTGAGCGGCAGTTTTAACAAAACAATGTACGTTTGCTAGCGGCTACTTCAAACAATATTATTCAAGGGGTGGATGTAAATGCTGAAGCACTTAGTGTGGTAACGATCGAAGTGGGCAGGTGGTTTCATTTCTTAGGATTACAGAAAGTTCGGCATAGAGCATTCTGTCCCTTAACGAATGTTGAATGAAACTTAACCTTGTGCATTAGCTATCTCCTGCGAAGGCCAATATAACAGATTAATTTTGACTTGTGAAACCGACTTTTACAGAGTAACGGTGCTCCCGGAACAACAATCCTCCATCATGGCCGCCTCAGGTAAGATTTCAGGATACATCATGTTCACTCACTACATTCATACGGCACTTAATTATCATATTACGCATACGATTGATATAACCCATATTGATTAAATGAGCTGAAGAGAGAAGAAAGTATATTAAACAGGAAGAGCAAATTTTGTGCAGCAAAACACTCACCTTTGTATAGTTAACCTAAGCAGAATAGTTTAGAACAGGAATGCAACACAGGGCAAAATACTTTTTTTTTTTTTACAACAGACCCCATCATCTTTGTCAGCTCAAATTGTCTGTTGAAGCCACGAGAATGAAGAAGCTTCTTTTTTGATTTTGTCGACAATTTCTCTATGTGCTATCACATCTGATAGGTCTTCCAGAACACAGTTGCCTCCATAAGTGCTTCAAGTTCTAACAGTAAACTTTGTGCTCAAAGGTCGCGACCAAACAATTATGACAGAGCTCGTAAAAAATGTTTGATACTGCAAGTAAAGTTGATTGCTCAAGTCCATTCTCATATTGCAGATGTGAAATTCGAAGGGGTACAATGCGATGCTTGCTGTCGTAAAGATATAACAGGGACCAGCTGGAAGTGCGAAGTATGTTGCGACTATGATCTCTGCGACGACTGCTATAAAAGCGGCAAGCACTACCGAGAGCACCCCTTCCTGCGGCTCAAGAAGCCCGGTGGTTCAGCGTATGTATTGACAAATTTTACTTCCGTAGTACATTAACAGAGCTCTTCACTGTCGACTCATTCAGAGCTGTTCACCACCGTCGAACTGTTCTATACTAAACATATGCAAAAAGAGTATTAAGCTTGAACATCACACTGTGCTTGTATATATATGGTGCATCAGCTGTCAGCCAACTAACTCCGTTGATTACCATTCTCACCCCATGAAATCCCGTATCAGTTGTTCATATGGATCATTTCTCAATTTACTTTCTAACACTAACACTGCTAGAATTATCAAGCAGCTTCACGAGCTGTTGTCGTTGTCGGGCTGCATAATTTTGTAGAAATTATTACGATTTTAAAAATATTTATGCATGCCATTATACAGTGTTGAATACTTACTCATGTGACAGCCTGCTTATGCACTGCGTGATTATCCTTTTGTGTTATTTAGCTTGCTTCGTGTCGTGCTTCGTATGGTGTTGCCAATCTGGGTAATAATCGTGATTTCGTGGCGTACAGCCAACGTCGAATGGTGAAGTTAAAGTGACCCTCTAACACTTTTTGAGGGTGGTCAGAAAATGATTGATATGTGGGATTTAACGTCCCAAAACCACCATATGATTTTGAGAGACGCCATAGTGGAGGGCTCCGAAAATTTCGACCACCTGGGGTTCTTTAATCTGACCCAAATCTGAGCACACGGGCCTACTACACTTCCGCCTCCATCGGAAATGCAGCCGCCACAGCCGGGATTCGAACCCGCGACCTGCGCGTCAGCAGCAGGGTACCTTAGCCACTAGACCATCGCGGCGGGGCCGTGGTCAGAAAATTCTGCCACCTAGAATTCACAAGAAATTCTCATTGTCAGTCCGCCAAAAAATTGCTTTCTCTTCTCTCGGCACATGATGCTACAAATGACTCGTCACAACGATTGTATCAGACGTAGGCTGATTTGAGCATCGCGAACTCGGTCATTAAAGGGCCCGCCGCAGAAGGCCACCACTTGTCCACGCGTGCGCGCGCGATTGCACTGAAAAGCCACGTATTTGAAGAAAAAAAAGGAAAAGTGCTCAAGGACACAATGCCCACGTGGCGTATTTTCTGTCCCCGCGCCGTTCCTTCCTACTGAGATTCCAGCGCTTTCGTCGGAACGAGAGAAGGGATAATGTAATTGCAGCGTGAAGCAAATCTTCGCAACTCCACTCGTACTGGACCGATACTAAAAAAAATGACGGTGAATTCGTGCAGGTAATAGGCTTCTTTGGTGAATCCATTCCATGGCTACATAAAAATTACAGCATATCCACGGAGTGAAGGATGATGAGTGAGGCAAAGCCTTCGTCCGTCTGTTCATGTATTCACTCGTCTGTCCGTCCGGGTGAACGGATGAACAGAGGCATGTACGCACGAACAGACAGACGTACGCACGAACGGATGCACGGATGAACGGAAGCAAGGACGGACAGACAGACAGACGGAAGCATGGACAGACAGATGGACGGATGGCCAGACGGACAGACAGAAGCATGCATGGACAGACAGAGGGACAGACGGACGGACGGACGGAAGCACGAACGGGCGGTCGGGCGGAAGCACGGAGGGATTGATGAACATGTGAACAGACGAACGCGCGAACGGTTAGACACGCGGATGAACAGTCAGATGCTTCACCCCACTCATCATCATTCACTCCGTGGATATGCTGTGAAGACTACTAACGCCATCTAGTTATATCATTCACAAGGACGTATACACACAGCACCATCTATTGAGTGATTCATAAACTAGAGGTGGCTACATACCACATATGGAGGAGAGAAGGACACACAGCCTAAACAGCTTCGCCCTAAAGTGTTGCATGGCCCCTTTAAATGCGCATCGTTATAAAATGTGCCTCTCTAGCTTACACTTCATGAAATGTAACTTCCTCATGTGCTGAATACTGGAGGGGGGGGGGTGAAAACATTTAATAACTATTAAATGGTTACAGAGAGGTGATTGGGTTGGGGCCTTATTGGCCTCCTACCCTCACAGCACTAGGTGGAACCCCTATTCCGGGGCTCCATTGGCAAGCAACGCCGCCCGCGCACGTTGAACCAGAGCCTCTTGGGCCTTCAGGTCTTGACAGCCGAGCAGGGCCGCCTCCCAGTCCTCTTTCGTGGGATTGGGGTTGGGGGGGATAGATGGATTAGACTGGCACGCCCAGACGATGTGAAAGGTGTCAGCCACCTCACCACAGAACTGGCACGTGCCATCAAAGGATGAATTGAAATGTTTTAGCACCGCCGGGCACAGTACGGTATTGGTAAACAGTTTTAAAAGGAGGCGCTCGTCAGCGCGATGCAGTCCCTTACAAGGGTCTGGATAGCGCCGGTGCTCCTCCTTGTAGTAATTGGTAATATCTTTGAATGAAAGGGCCAAATTGTCTGATTGCGAGTAGGCTTCCAAAGACAGGGAGATAGCCCGGGAAGAGAGTGCGCGGGCGGCCTGATCGGCCTGTTCGTTACCCCTGAGTCCTTGGTGACCGGGTGCCCAAACCAGATTTCGCGGAGTTGGATTAACGTACCGGCAGCTAGGTTCCAGTATGCGCTGAGCAAGCGGTGAAGCCCACCCTAGCTGATAGTTCCGACAGGCCCCTCGTGAGTCGGTGATGATATGTTTAGAAGAGGGATAGGTGAGAGCCAGAGCGATGGCAACCTCCTCCGCGTGTGTTGCGCTGTAGGCTTTGAAAGTGAGGCCGTTTATGGTGTTTGCGTTGTGTATGACTGCGGCAGTATACCACCCCCCATGGTGCGGGCCGGCAACGTCCACGTAGCACACGTGTTCCTCTTGACCAAAGTGTCGCTGCAACGCTTCCGCGCGCGCCTGGCGGCGACCACTGTGGTTTTCTTTGGACATGTTGCGGGGAAGGGGTCGGACCCGGAGGGCGCGTCTCCAAGGTTCTGGCACTGTCACCCTTTCCTCAATATAGTAATCGTGTTTGATGTGTATTCGGTCCAAGAGGCGGCGACCGGAATGGGTCTGTGCAAGGCGCGTGTATTGGTTAACGAGGTGGGCTTCTCGAAGTTCCCGGTAGGTATTCACCACGCCTAGGGCCAGAAGTCTCTGGTTGGACGTGGTGATAGGGAGGTCGAGAGCCCGCTTGATAACTTTACGGTGGATGACCTCGAGTTGATCATCCTCGTGTTTGCGTAGGTGCAAGTAGGGAGTCGAGTAGAGTATTCTACTCGTTACAAAGCATGGGCAAGCCGCATTGCATCCCTGCTTCGTAATCCGCCCCGCTTGTTGGAGACCCGGCGGACCATACGGCCCACCTGGTCTCCCACCGTGCGAAGTTTGGCTATTGTGGTGTCGGCCTTGCGTTGGTGGTGTATGAAGAGGCCAAGGACGCGGATCTCCTTGGCCTCACGGATCGGTCCCGAGGGAAGACTGATATGGAGCTGAGTTGTGTCCTGAGGGGAGGGACGTACGTGCACAAATTCTGACTTAGCCGGGCACACTGGAGTCCGCAGTAGGTTGCGTAGTCGTCGACTACAGTCGCTGCTGCTTGCAGGCATGACTCCATGTGACCCAGGTTACCTTGCGTGGCCCAGATCGTGATATCATCCGCAGTAAAGAGCGTGATGTATCCCTGGTAAAGAAGCCAATTTGGGGGGAAGATGAAGCATGGCTATATTAAATAGGAGGGGAGAGAGGACCGCGCCTTGAGGAGTTCCCCTCGAGCCGATGACGTAAGGCCCATGTTCCTCATCTTGTATGCGTATGTAGGCTCGACGGTCTGTAAGAAACTGTCTAACATAATTGAATGTTTTATAATCACAGTTGGTCTGACTGAGGTGGTCAAGGATTACCTCATGCTTCACGTTGTCGAATGCCCCTTTAAGATCCAAGGCCAGGACTACCTTGTCATTGTGGGGGCATTCAACAGGATCTAATATGTCATGGTGGAGCTGTAGAAGTATATCCTGGGCTGACTTCTGAGGGCGGAATCCAAACATGGTGTCCGCAAAAGTGTGCTGTGTTTCTAGAAATTCGGAGAGTCTGTCGCGCACCATCGTTTCCATCAGCTTGCCGACACAAGACGTGAGGGAGATGGGGCGAAGGTTCTCCACGTCAATAGGTTTACCTGCCTTCGGGATGAAGGTCACGAGAGCCGATTTCCATTCAAGAGGGAGAGGAGTTTCTCCGTCCCAAATGCTATTGATGTATTTGAGGAGCGTGGCGTAGGCTGCGTCGGGAAGATTGGCCAACAGTTTGACCGTAACCTGGTCACGCCCTGGTGCAGTGCCACGCTTCATCTTGCGTAAGGCCGCCTGGAGGTCGTGGAGCTGGAACGGGGTGTCCAACTGCGTGTTCTTTTTGCCTGCGTAGGAGTATGCGGCCGTCCGGGGGTCCTTGGTGGTGCACAGGTATCGGTCCCTGAGCGTGTTTGCCAGCTGTGTTGTCGTTCCTGTAAAGTTGTGCATGACCTTATGTAAGTGACGTTGAGTTTCCGTGCGTGTTTGTGTTGGATCGATGAGAGCGCGAAACAGGCGCCACGTGTTGCGACCAGACATCTGGCGTGCAGCCGTGTTGCACCTGTCCACCCAGTTAGTGTCGGCTAGCTGAGCAGCATATTCCGCAGCTTGCTCCGTGAGTTCTAGGATGCGTTTCTTGAGGCGTCTGTTATGTTTCTGTTTTTTCCATCAGTTTGGTGAGGCTGCGGCGGGCCTGCCAAAGATGGAGGAGGTGGTTGTCCACGTCCGTTTGAGTTTCCGTGAGCTGTATCAGCTGTTCGTGTTGTTTCAGTGTAGACGTCAGTGATTTAGACCAGGTGTCGTATCCCGACTGGAGAGGGTCTACAATAGGTAGAGTGGTGCGGAAAGTTGTCCAGTCTGGGATACGAGCTTGTGTAAGTGGGCGTTTTAAGGGACGCATGTACACAGTTGTGTTTAATACACAATGATCACTACCGAGAGTGTCCTGTGTGTTCAGCCAGTCGGCATGGCGTATGTTGCGTGTAATTGTGAG